GATATGTTATCCTGGAAAAAAACAGAAACAAAAAACGCCTGGGAAACTGATTCCTCTGGGCACAAAAAAATGTTTACGAAAGAAAATACTTATTGCAAAGATGGACATCTTTGAAGGGAGCATATGGCAGCACCCGTCCTAAATTTAAAGGGATGCTTAGATGTCTGTGTCTTAATTGCCCAAATTTAATAAGTAGGCCAACCTTGAAGTCTTTGGGTCCAAGTGATAAAACAGTGTAAGCAAAAATAATTAAATATGCCTGTTGCGAAAACAAAGAGAAGCACTTTTCCTATGGTAAACTTGAGCCAAACCCTAAATCTGCTTTTCACCATAAATACCCTTGATGTTAGAGCATTCATTGCACCTGTTACCAGATGTTCCTGAGCCCATGTCTGGGCTGTGTACTATGTTTCTATCTATCTTTCTATGTTTTTCATCTCTCCTTTGCTTTGCTGTACTAATAAACTTTCTTGACCTTTACGTTGATGTGTTTTACTTATTTATTTTTTGCAGTACTGGGGCTCTAACTCAGGGCCTATACCTTGAGCCACTTCACCAGCCCTATTTTTTTGTGAAGGGTTTTTGGAGATAGGGTCTTGAGAACTGTTTGCCCCGGCTGGCTTCAAACCATTATCCTGATCTCTGTGTCCTGGTCCTGTGTGGCTAGGATGATTGGTGTGAGACACTGACACCTGGCAATTTTTTTTTTTTTTTTTTTGGCTTCCTCTCTTTGGAGACCTCCCTGGGGCATTGAGGTTTCCAGTAACATTTCCACTAAAGGAAATGAAGATTGCTTAGCTCTTTTCTTTCTGAAGTTCCTATGCCTGTATATCCCCCACAGAAATTAAAATCTTCATGAGTCAACCTAGTGCCAGTGGCTCACACCTGTAATTCTAGCTACTTGGGAGGCTGAGATTGGGTGGTTTGAGGCCAGCCGGGCAAATAATTACCAAGTCCTTATCTCCAAAATAACTAGAGCAAAATGGACTGGAGATGTAGCTCATGTGGTAGAGTACCTGCTTTGCAAGTGCGAAGCCCTGAATTCAAACCCCAGTCTAACTAAAAACAACCAACCAACCTCCAGAAATAAAGGATGGAGAATTTGTTACAGTGGTTGTAGAATAATCAAATTTACCATTGGTCTGGTGGAGTGGCACAAGTGCTCTAGCAAGCATGAGGCCCTCAGTTCAAACTTAGTACTGCAAAAATAAAAACATATAAAACACATTGCCTTACTAAAACCACAATTTACCAATATGAGAACTGTGAAAGTTAAAAATAATAATGTGTAATATCTCCTCTGTGTACCAAAATTCTTCCTATTTCCACCAAAATGCTTTTGGGTGCTTTTTTTTTTTTTTTTTTTTTTGAGACAGTGTCTTAAAAAGGCTGGCCTGGAATGATGTAGGCCCAGCCTGGTCACTGTTAATTCTCCTGTCTGGGCCTCCCAAATGCTGGCATTAGAGGCCTGAGTCACCATACCTGGCTTCTTTGCATGCTGTGGAGTTGAAGATCTGTTTAAGCTTCATATATTGCAACAGTTTATATCTTCTGGTCTCTTTAACCCTAGAATAATTAGTCCCTGTTGTTTATTGATTTTTAAAAAAATTGTTTGCCAAGATGGTTTTGAATTTAGGGTATATTGACTTTTTTGGGGTGGGGGGTGGGGTGGGGGGTTAGTGCTAGGGATCAAACCCAGGGCCTTTAAAGTGCTTTACACTGAGTCACATCCCCAGCCTTATATTGGCATTTTAAGTGTGAGACATTCTTTTTTTTTTTTTCCATTTTTCTTTTGTGGTACTGTGGATTGGAGTTGTACTCAAGAGTGTTGTGCCCTTGTGCTTCCTGGGCAAGTGCTCTACCACTTGAGCCACTCTGCTAGCCCTCACACATTCTTTTGAAAAGTCACACATTGTGATATTTTGCTTGGATTTTTATGTTGTGTTTAAACTTTTCTCCCCCCAAACTGGCTGTGGTGGTACATGTCTGTAATCTCAGTACTCTGGATGCTTAGGCAGGTGGATAGCCAGTTTGAGGTCAGCTGGAGCTACATAATGAGATCTGGTCTTAGAACAACATCTCCAATTTGGTTCTCCCCCCCCACCCCCATTTGTTGGATTTCTTTTGAATTAGTAATTGTACCCAGAGTAGAGGTTGGATTTCTTTTTATCTGGAGACTGATTTTTTTTGGAGGTACTGGTGTGTTTGAACTGAGGACCTTGTTTGCTAGACAGGCACTCTACCACTTGAGCCATGCTCCCAGCCCAACCTTTTTGTCTGGAAAGGGCTAGAGGGCTAGAGGCTTTTCTGGCTTTAAGATCTCACACTACTCAGCTGTGTCTTTGTACTTAGCAGTCACAGAGCACAGTAAACAGATGTGCATGATTTTGTTCCAATAAAACTTCGTAACAACTGGCTCATAGTTTGCCAGTCCTGGTTCAGGGCTCAAGAGTTCATTTGCAATCAAATTTTGCAGGTACTGCTGTGTGTGTGTGTTTTAAGTGGTACTGGGGCTTGAACTCAGGGCCACACGGTTGCTAGGCAGGGACTCTACCACTTGAGCCACTCCACTAACTTTTTTTTGTGTTGGGTGTTTTCAAGATAGGGTCTCATGAACTTTTTGCTTGGGCTGGCCTCTCTTCTAATTATTTCACATAGAAGATAAACATTTACATCCTGAGAGTGTGACTCAAGTGGTAAAGTGCCTGCCTAGGAGGCTGTAAATTCAAGCCCCAGTACAGTACCACCAAAAAAAAAAAAAGGCTGCTTTTTGATGATGTCCTTTGTCCTTAAGGTAGTTGATAGTCACAGCACTTTTTTTTTTGCGGTTCTGGGGTTTCAACTCGGCCTCACCTTGCCCCACTCCAGCAGCCCTTTTTTGTGATGGGTTTTTTTCAAGACAGGGTCTCGAAAACTATTTGCCTGGCCTGGCTTCAAACTTGGATCCTCTTGTTCTCTGCTTCTTGGGTTTTTCTTGTTTGGTGGTACTGAGGTTTGAACTCGGATTCAGGCTTGGTAGGCAGGCCCTCTAACATCTGAGCCACTTTACCAACCCAGAGCACTCTTAGATTTTCCTTTTGAATAAGAAAATAGGGGACCTGCTCCAGGTGTGGCTTAAGTGGCAGAGCGCCTGCCTAACGAGCTTGAGGCCGTGAGATCAAAATCCCAGTACCAAAGAGAAAACAAAACAAAAAGTCCAGAATCACCCCCCTCACCAAGGAAAGTAATTTGTGGTTAATATCTTAACACTCTGAATATAGTGGTCTTGGTCTGGGGCAGGGTTGCAGGCCCTGGGTAGGTAGGTCTCTCTTCAGCTGGGTGTCATCAGGCAGCAGCCTTCTCTCCAAATATTCCCAACTGGGAGAGAACCTGCAGCATGACCAATGCATCATTGTGACAGTCACACACCCACAGCCCGTGACTCCTCTACCCTCTGTCACCCTGATTCCTGACTCTGAGACCTGGTTCTGACCAAATCATGATGAGTATTTGGGATTGGGTAGGTTAAAGTGGAAAGAGAGGGGCTGGAATTTTTTCTGTATATTGTTTACTGTATGTTTTCTTCAATGGCCAACCAATCAGTATGTTGTCAATCCAGTTAGCCAGTGGATTGAGTTCAAAAGTTTTTCTTTTTCTTTTTCTTTTTTTCTGTTGGTGGTACTGGGGATGGAGCCCATGGCCGGCACTGTACCACTTGAGCCACACTCCCAGGATCCTAAAAACTTTTTTTATTTTTGGTGGTACTGGAGTTTGAACTCAGGACAGGTGCTTGCTAGGCAGGTGTTCTATCACTTAAACTGTAAGGAAATATAGGCCCCAAAAGTGACCACGTGGAGAGGAGTGATCTGGCCAAGAGATTCTTTATTGCCGGGTGGGAGAGGGAGAGAGCAGAGAGAGCCAAGAGAGAGAAGCAGGAGGGGCAGGGGCTTAAATACCCCTTAGTGGGACTCAGCATGATCTGGTTGGTTAGGATCTTATGGTTCATGCTGATTGGAGGTTGGGGCAGAAAGAGGGCTCAAGCTAGACTTGAGGCTGGACTGTGACCCTGGAAAACAGAAGCTTAAGGGTGCAGTAAGAACTGAAACCTATCGGCACCATTATTGCCAACATAAACCATACCACAAGTCCCCTAAAAACTTTAAAAAGGGGTAACTAAGGTCCAAAAAAGCAGGCTAGGACTAAAGGCATGGCTCAAGCCATAGAACACCAGCTCATCAAGCCCCTCCAGGAATGAAAGAAAGAAAGGGGAGAAGAGAGAGAGAGGAGAAAAAGGAGAGGAAGGAAGGAAGGAAAGAGAGAAAGGAAGGAAAGAGAGAGGAAGGAAGGAAGGAAAGATAGGAAGGAAGGGAAAGAAAGAAAAAGACGGGTTGAGTAGAGGATGAGGGCATTTGAAAAGTTGGTAGGTTTACCATGGGGCAGAAACAGTGCAAGAGCTCCAGGAAGATGTGGTTAAGCTCTCTGCGAGAGTCCTGCGTGGGCTTACGCTATCTCACATTGTACCACCCTTGCCACCTGCAACCCCGTGGCGGTATGAGCTCCGCCCCCTCCCGTATCCACGCCCACAGGCCTAATTATACCTTCAACAATGTCCTCCAGCCCCCGCTCTCAGTTCTTCCCGGGTCGGCCCGCCTCCTCGTGGGCGGAAACTATAATTGCTCTGCAGGAGTTGTCCAACCTGTTTGAGCGCGGAGCTCCTGGACCCCGCCCTGCCTGGTGCACGGAGGGCGGGGTGGGGGAGGAGGAGGCTCTAAGCGGAAGTGACGTCAGCGGCTCTCGTCCGTCTTTTCCGGTGCTGGCTCCTGGCCGCCAAGTTCCTTTTCTTCTTACTGGTCATCCTGCTTGGTCCGGCTTTGGTGAGGTGGGGTAAGAGCATTGGCCGGCGGTGGAAGAGGGTGGGGGGAAAAGAGCGAGTTTGACCCGGGCCGCCGACGAGCCTTTTCCGAGAGGCCTGGCGCTGCGCTCGCGTCCGTGGGGCCGCGTGTCGTCCGGCGCGGCCGAGTCAGGCCGCTCGGGCCGCCGCTGCTCCGGGATTTTGTTAAGTGCGCCTCCTCAGTGCTTTTTTTCCACACACGATGATTTCTTCTTCAGAAACCTCTAAAGCAAATTCTCTGAACTTCTTTCCAGAAGGAAACGGATTGCCGCGGTTCGTTCCCGGTCCCCCGTCCGCCCTCCGCACGGACCTGGCGACTAGGGCGCGTCCCGGTGAGCTTCGGGGGGAAAGTGGTTCCAGGCGCTTCTCAACCCTCTCTTTGTAGGGGGATGGGCCACCCGGGGTGGGGAGGCCCAAGTTCGGCTTTCTCATTTCCCGTCTTACATTTATCTTTGAGAAATATTAAAAAAAGAAAGAAAAAAGCCAGCTGTTGAGGCGTCTGGGGTGTGCATCTTTCTGTCTGGATGTGCGTGAGTGTAGACTGCAAGTCATTCTGTTTAAGAACCAGACTCTTCAACCATTCTATTCGTCCCATTCTCTTCGATCCCGGGGCTCCCAGGAAGAAAGGATGCACTAGGACCATTATATTTCAGTTTATTACTATTTTTCCAGGAAAATAAAAGCACTTTTTTTTTTTATGGTGAACTGTTTGGAAAGAAATAATTTAAAAATTGCGCGCGTGCAAATTGAGCTTTAAATGTTTCGTAGTCCGTCACTTAAAATAAGAAAGTGGAAAAGAATGTTACAAATATAGAATATATTAAAAAAGAAGTCTCCACATTGTTCCAAAATTTGGTTTTGGTTGTTTTTTGTTGGTTATATCTACTGTGTTGAAGTTGCCTTTATTTTTCTTTGACTGTAAAACAGAGGGTATTTTTCTGTTTTATCCTTTTATTTATTTTTATTTTATTTTGTTTTCAGTACTTGAACCCAGGGTCTCAGGCTTGCTAGTTGGCCTTCGTTCTACCACTTGAGGTATGCCTCCTGTCCCCACCCTGTTGTATTTTTAAATAGTTAGGCATTCTTTCAGAAAATTAGCCATTCTGATTTTTAGTCTCCTGCTGTGTTTAAATCTTTCCTCTATTTCTTGTATTTCCTGTAAGCTGATGGGGTGCCTGAATGGCTTGTTAAGGCATAGAGACAAAATTCAACTAGATCTCTTTTTTTCCTTAACTCAAGAGTTGAGCAACTCCACCAGCCCTTTTTTGTGATGGATTTTTGGAGTTAGGGTCTCACAAACTGTTTGCTGGGACTGGCTCCTGATCTCTGCCTCCTGAGTAGCTAGGATTACAGGCATGAGCCACCAGTGCCAGGCAACTAGATCTCTTTGTAGACAGTTCGTAAACTAGAAGAGGAGGCAAAAGTGTAAGCCAGGAAATGAACAAATTATTACAGTTCCATGAAGGTTTGGAAGTAAAATAAAGACATGATTTCCTAGGTCTTTTTTGAATGGTCTTTAAATGGGAGTAGTGTAAGTCAGAATGTTGAAACTGAGAGCAAAAGTACAAGCAGTAGGAGCCAGCCATGAGGAAAAGGAGACAATGACAGCTATTTATGAAGTGGCAGACCACCTTTGCAAAGAGAGGCTGGAAAGTACATCAGGGATTGCTCGAAGTTTAATACTTGTCATTTTCTATGTTTGTAAAAAGTTGAGGGAGCAGTGTGCTATTAAACATGTAGCTGACAAGAGGCTATTCAAATGTGAATTAAGAGAAAATGATAAAGCATGAATGTGTTTTGTTTTTATTGTTTTGGCATTACTGCAGTTTGAATATAGGGCTTTGTGCTTGCCAGGCACAGGCTTTACCACTAGTCCATGTCCCCAGCCTATTTTCATGAGTAGGAAATTTTCTTTTAGGTTTTTTTTTTTTTTAATTATTAATAGGAAATAATTCAAGGAAGCAATTGTTGGCTGAGCATTGAGAAATAAGTTTACTGTGACTACCAGCCTTGTTTTTGGCCTAAGTACATGTGCAGAAGTGTGATTTTACTTTGTAGGGGACAGTTTTTAGGCATGGCACTGTCATTGATAAAAAGTGCAGAGATAGGCCATTTTACCAGAATGTCCATTGCTAAGATAACTGCCTGAGGTTTAGTCAGTTTCGTTGTTGTTGTGTCCTATGTTTCATGAGGGACATCTTTCTAATAGATAGAAAGCAATAGCGTTAGTTAAGCTCGATTACATACGGTGGTCATACTCACATTATTGTTCACTCAGTTAATCTCAAAGCGCTAGGTAGGCAGAAGATGTGATCTTCTCTAGCCCCCTGGCATCGGGTGAGGTATTAAGGGCAGAGGAGGCCACTGGCTACCTATAGGTGGAATAATCCAGAGGACCCATGTTTGGGTTCTCTCCTATCTTGAGGCCTCAGTAACATGCCAAACTAGGATGATATTTCTATGACCCAAAGCATAATGGGCAACTGGGTGCAAAGGGTCACAGATTCAGGGTCTGCGAGAGCCTCTTTCTGGGGGAGTCTGGTAGTTGGCCAGTCATTTGTTATGGTGAATATCAGGTGGTCAGGAGGGGCAGTTACTTGCTTTAGGGTCCCTGGAGGAAGTTCTAACCACCTCAGATGGTCCAGAGACTTCAGGATGTTTTAGTTTATTTTGCTCTTATTTATGTTTGACACTACTGGGGTTTGAATTTAAGACCTTGTTCTTTCCAGACAGGTGCTCTACCATTTGGGCCACACCTTTAGCCCTCTTATTTATTATTAGCATACATAGTACAAGGGAGTTTTATCATTCCATAGAAGTGTACAGTATATTTTGAACAAGTTCACCCCATTATATGTAATTAAATATGTATGTGTAATATATATATCCTTTTCACCCACCCCCACTCCTTTCCCCCTTTGCCACTCATGTGCCATCATCACCATCATTTAGGTCTAGATTCTACATTTTTTTCTTATTACAGATTTTTTTACTCCCTCTATGTTAATTACCTCTTTTCTTTTGTCCACCTGCCCTCTGCCATAGCCCATGGAGCTTATGAGCCCTTCTTAAGGGTTAGCTCTAAGACTTTCCCCTTCCTACCCAGATTTTTTTCAGCCTGTCAGCCTTGCCCACCCACCAGCCCTGGGCCCCCTACCCAGAGCCCTTGGTGCCAGACCCTTCAAGATGCATTTAAAAAGTTTTAAATAACCTCTTATCATGAAGAAGATTTCCTCCCTCTTATTTTTGTCTTTCCTTCTGTCGTGGAGTGTTAAAACATTGGCCATGCTGGCCTTGAACTGTTGGAGTAAAGTGATCCTCCTGCCTCAGCCTCTTCAACAGTTGGGTGCTACCTGCCATCATGCCCAGCTTTCTGGTCCTCCACTCCCCCAGGCAATAATTGGTGTACAAGTTGTAAATGAGAAATACGTTGTTAGAAGAACCCAAGAGTTACAGGAATTATGTGTTTTTTCATTGGGTGTGTCATAAGTCTCCTTGGAGAAGGATGTCACAGCTGTGTTCCTGGAGGATGTAGCTGTCAAACCCCCCCCCCCAAAAAAAAAAGTCAATTTCACTAGTGTTCCCTTGGGGTACTATATAGCAGCCTTGGCTGTTGGCTGCTGTTGCCCCTGTTGCTCTCCTGGTTTCTGTGTTTTACTCTGTTGATCTAGAGGTCTCTGGAGAGTGACTGTAAATTCTAGCCCTACCCAAACTAGGAGGAGAATTACATTTGGTGCATTGGTAAGGTGAGACACAGAGGAGGCAGTACCATAAACACATGAAATAACAAGCATTTTATTTTATTGCTCATACATTCCTGAATTAAAAGGGATTGCCCTCTAGGGCCCACAGGAAGTTTAGAGGTGGCAGCAGGGGCTCACTGTTAGGTAGGAAATGGGGAGGGGTGTGATTTGGAACAAAGCATTGTGAGGTCCATAGATAATGTCCCTCAGCCTTTTCCATTGGGATCATGGATTCACTAGGGTAAGTAGCATGTACAAAGTGGGGAACATATTTAAATGACTCTGGTGTTGATCATTAGGTGTAATTATGGTTGGCATTTGTTGGTCAGTGGGATAGGTCATAGAACCACACTGGGAAGGTTTGTTTTTTCTTGGTGGGACTGGGGTTTGAATTCAGGGCATCATGCTTGTAAAGTAGGTGCTCTATGCTTGAGCCACACTGCCAGTACAGTTTGCTCTGGTTATTATTGGTTGAGGTACTGGGGTTTCAACTTGGGGCTCATGCTTGCTAGGCAGGGATTCTGTTGTTTGAATCACTCTGCCTGACCTTTTTTGTGTTGGGTAATTTTGAGACAGGGTCTTACAAAGACTCTGCCAAAGCTGGCGTTAACCACTATCCTTCTGACCTCTGCCTCCCAAGTAGGTAGGATTACAGGTGCTCTGGGTAGTTTTGGAGAAGGAGTCTTGAGAACTATTTGTCCAGATTACCTTTGACCATGATCCTCCTGATCTCAGCCTCCAAGTAGCTAGGATTACAGGCCTGAGTAGGATTACAGGCATGAGCCACCGGCCAGGCTAGGAGGAAAGTTTTAACTAGGCCAAAGGTGATGGTACAGCTGGGTTTCAAATAACTTACTTGGAACCTAAACATAGATTCCAAAGCAGCAACTGTGTATTAAACAGATTTATGATAAATACATGAGAAAAGCTTAAGAGTGTTGTTAATATAATATAGTCTAGTGTTTTGTTCCAAAGTAGATTTTTTTGGTAGTACTAGGGTTTAAACTTGGCCTTTTGCTTGTTAAGCAGGCATTCTACCACTTGAGCCACATTTGTGTTTCCTCGTGTAGTTGGGGAGAGGTTTTTTTTTTTGTCTTTTATTTTTTTGGTGCTGGGACCGAACCCAGGGCCTTACGCATGCAGCTAGGCAAGCGCTGTACCACCGAGCTACATCCCAGCCCTCCTTGTGTAGTTGGGATGACAGACACATGCTATTGCTTCCAGCTATTGGTTGAGGTGGCTGTCTTGCCAACTTTTTGCCTGGGCTGGCCTGTAACTATAGTCCTCCCAATCAGCTAGAATTATAGATATGAGCCATGGTACCTGGCTTCCACATTTATTATTTACACCTGACCAGATGAAAAATAATCTCATATTTTTTTAGATAAATACATCTCACAAATATTTCATTGATTGCCCAAGGGATCCTTTGTTGTTTTAGATGCTGAGTGAATAGCAGTGAACACAACAGTCCCCAGTCTTACCATGCTTACATTCTAGTGGGGAGTGACAGGCAGTGAACAACAAAAGATACAATCTATAATATGTAATGATAACCATTGGGTATAAATCCTGTGAGAAAAAGCAGA